ACATTGTCTTTTTATTTTTTTCTCTATGCTCCCCCTCAAAGTCTCAGGAGCAGCCAATAGTACATGAACACATAGAGCAGCGGATTTTCTTTTTTCATGTAAGTGTAAGGACATTTTTCTGACTATATCGTTGTGCATCTTGCCTTTCAGAATGCTTTATAGTGTTTTTAAAGGCCCTATCAAATTGTTTTAAGTTGTGATTAAATCAGAATTTTGTGGACGCAGCCTGTCTAGACAAGCATAGAATCTACAGATCTACTTCTTTGACTTTCAATTGCTGAGGTGTCTTTAGCATGTCATTCCATAAGACACCTTCCAAGTTTTCCTGCTAAAAATCTATAAATATCTTCAACTTTCAATTGCCTCAGGGTCTATACCTTGACACTGCACAAAAAATAATCTTCACATCAGATAAAAAGAAATCTTCCCAATTGAACTCATGCCTTCTGGATGCAACAGTCTGACCATAGCAGGACAGAAAGAAGTGACTAACTGACCACAAAAAAACCCCAATGATTACATGAAGTGAGTTTTACGCTACACTCACTTAAGACACCAGACTCTTCATGAGCTGGCTGCTATGACAAGGTTGGTTAGAATATAAGAAGGGTCAAAAGTTTTCCCGCCCTCCTAGGAAGAGAACACACAGAGGTCTATATATGTGGTCCCAGTTATGACTAGGTTGAAGAAATTAGAACCATCAAAGGTTTTAAGCACCATTGCAACACCCAATACATAGGCATACATTGATAGGTGGGGGTGGGGGGGCACTTCTTCTACTTACGAGATTAGAAACCACACAAACCACGGCAAAGAAACTTGAATTTGAATAAAATTCCAAACTGATTATCTCAAGAATGAGACGCAGGCAATGGCAATACAATTTTGTGTCAGTTGGTTTGTAATTTGAGAAATGTGCGCAGCTCTGATGTGAGGAGTGAAGACACCCACAGCCAAAATTAATATTTTTCTATAAGTAAAATTGCCTGACAGCATTACACTACAAGTTCATAAGAGTAAATAGTAAGGCGTAAGGCATGTCATCTTTTTGTCATCCAGTCATTGCTCAGACATGAATAAAATCCAAACATCACACAATTTGTTGTGAGCTTTGAGATATGACCCTTACAAAGTGACCTTTCTCTTGTACCATTGACTCTTTTTCCTGGAAAAAGACAATAAAAAAAGGCCACTCCTCTTTTTGAGATTCTAAAAATAAAACAATTACACCAATATTAGTCTCGACATTAATAGTAAAGCTAGAGGAACATTATTGTGAAGAAATGACAAACAGTTTAGCACGGATAGCTCGACTTCGTCGGGACCAGCCTCGGTAGTTCGAGGGATACGTAGTTCGAGGGATACGTAGTTCGAGGGATATCTTACAACAATAAAGAAGAAAAAAAAGGACCGCAGGCACAGTTCGACGGATGCGAGATTTCGAGTCTTCTGTGTTCGACCTATTCTTGTTATTCTGTACCTCATTCACACAGAGAGATAGAAAGACCATTCTAGACAAAGTTTTATTAGAGAAATGTAACACAGCATCTTCATCAGTGTCAACATCTATAATAAAAAACAGAATATCAGATAATTTTTTTTTCTCAGAGATAGCAGTAGTAGTGTTTCAATTCATATAGTGGTGCCATGTACTGCGAGCGCTCAAGTACTTGATGTAAGACTCAATACTATGAGCGAAAGGGTCCAGCATTTGCAACCATATAAATAAAAGGAATGTATTGAGAAAAGAAATGGTCATGACAGTATTGACAGAGACCTCAGCACTTCAGAAGAATCCTTGACTTCCAAAAATGCATCCCTGACTTATAGCCCCACTTGTTGAGCTCTATCACTTTATTAAACACACAACCTTTTCAACATACTACACGCAAATAAAGAACATAATAATAATATTGCATATATGAAAACTGAAGGAATCATTAAACAATATGTGTTCAAACGAACTGCAATTTATGTAGTCCTCTTGTCAAATATAGACTGAGGTGAAAACCTATAATTGATTGTACTACGTCAAATAAAATAATACGTGGACGTTCAGATTAAAGGGTGCAAAACTTAAGGAAACATCATTTAAGGGGGTGTAGCTATGGTCAACACCCAAATGCTATAGTTTTTGGTCTAACGCTTGCTTTTCTGCATCAAAGGGGGTGACATAGTACAAAAAAAGGTTATCAAGCAAAAAATTCAAGATTTTAGCCTTAGTAATCTCGAGCCATCAAAAATAAAGGATTGGTTCAGCATTTTTAAAACCAATTTTATATTTTGTCAATCATCAACACTCATCAAGATAGAAGCCTAATATTTGGCATGGCGATTACTGTTGGTAGGTAGAACAACCTTACAGAGCCAAATTTGAATGTTCTGTACTGACTTGTGAGCCTTACAGTCCTTGCTATGCTCTACATCCAGGTCTCCAATGTTTTAAGATTTTGTCAAATAAAACAGGCCTAAAACTCCAAATGTGTTCCATAAACAGCAAAAATGCTCCTGTAAAGTTATAGAGTAATGTGTATAAAAGATTGTGTCCAAATGTGAAACAATTCTGACAGTAACTTTCTGAGATCTGCTCAATATAGTGTTGCAACCTGGTCAGATAAACACTTCTGAGAAAACTGCAAAGAGAGATAATTTTTGGTGAAGATTTTCCTACATTGCTACCTCTCTTAAATGCGTTTCCCAGCTATTTATAAGTTTGATAAAGGAATTAGGCTTCTAAAGATGGATCCTTGATATTGATATCTATTAAGATACTCCAAAATCCGAAAACTGATATTTTTTCAAAATATTTACTGATCTGACCAGTGGATCCCCTTAAAGGTTTGAAATTAGCATCCAAAGAGCCATCCATTGTTCTTCCAAAAATTAATCAGGGAAAAGCATTAAGTATTAGCCAGCAGCTCTTTACAGGGAAAAGTATTAGCCAGCAGCTCTTTATGGTGAAGTTTGTCAGCTTTGTAGCCAAGTTGCAAATTTATTTACACAGCTATGTCACATAAGCCTAGGTGATGGACCAGACAAAGATCTTCTTCAAACTATTCAAAAGCATGACATAAATCTTGGTAGAGATACTCACATTACCTCACTCACGAGCAAAACTCTAGTAGTTATATGAAGCAAGTAAAACCAGCATCGACATATCTTGGTCTAAGTTAAAGACCTAACCTTTACTTCCATAAAGTCAAATCCTTTTTTCTCCATCAAAATCATGTTTCAGGGTAAATGTGTCTTAATTATACAAATCTTATGAAGTTCTTGAAAGCTTTAAGGCAGCTTGATTCTAGTTTTTTAGATGAGATGTACAATAGATAGATCACAAATCCAATTTTCAAATTCATGTAAAATCTAGTACATTTACATAGAGAGAAAGAGAGAGGTGCATTTCAGCTTGATTATTTCTAGGTCTAGATTAAATAGTAAATATAATATATGTAAAATACTTTAGCACCAAAACAATCTCACTAATCAAAGCAGCAAAATCAGCAAAAAAATACTTTCCTTGCACCCACATTTGTCCCAAATCTTAAAAAATTCATTAAAAAAAGGTTTTTAACCATAACACAGGTTCATATGTAAAGCAAAGAAGAGAAAATAGTTAACTTTTGGATATTTGTTGCATTTCTTAAAAGATTGAAATAAGTAAACCAATAAAAAAATTTACAAAATTGTTGACAATAGCTCATCTCAGGTGGGGGGGAAGGAGTATCATTTCAAAAAATGATTTAAAAGAATCACTGAGCCAATTCTAAAACATATTATATAACAAACATGTTTAAAACAAGAAATCAATCCTTCCTTTAAGGTCACTTTGAGCAAGGGAAAGGCTTAAGTCAGATACAATCAACAAATAATAACATTAATAATAATACAGCACATTAGAGTAGCCCATTTATATATCCCTCCTTAGTAATAAGGATTATGCACTTATCACCCCGACATACATGAAAATATCACAAAACCTTCTCAGTTTCCTTACATGCATTCAGTGCATTCTACCATTTTACAGGCACCCAATCACTAACAAACTGATCTGATCTTTCACTGTCTTAAGCTTGCTTTCAATTCCCTCGTGGATGGAAGTGAGGAAAACTTGTGTGCAGCGTCTTTCCAAGGACAAAACATCAAGCATCAATCATTGTTTTAAGTCAGAGTATTACGACACTTGCAACACGATAAGGTCATTTTATGTGCCGAAGATTAGAGGTGTTACAAGAGATTAACAAACACAAAAAAAAACTAGAAGTAGAGATAAGGACAATAGATGTTTGATAGGAAAGAAGGAGCAAACCACACCAAAAGTACGCACCAACCACCCACAAGCCTGAATCAGGATTAGACCCAAAGTTCTACAGCCCAACCACTGGGCCACAGACACCAACAAAGACATAGGAAGGACCACCGGGTGGCGCTGCCCATCCTCAGTTCAAAAACAAGCAACAAGAAATCACAAGAATTATACAGTCTAGGTTAAACAAAAATGTCGTAACGATTCAATAACAGTACAAAAGGAAATACCAAAAAAGTACCGGTAACAAATTTGACTGGCGGATAAGCAACCATAAACAACTCTCCTCCCTAAGCACAGTCTGACCTCCATTCTCAGGCAGTACAACAAAAACAAAAGAACAAAAGAATCACAATAACAATAACATTCTCCCACGCTTAGCGGTTACATTTGAAAGCTCTCCCGTACTCACACATTCACAGCCAAAATTCACAAACACCCTTGGAGGCAAACACCAAAATAAAAACCAAATCCAAAAGAGACCTAAATTAATATCCCTGACAGGAAGACTTGTACATCTGCGCCCACCATTGACAGAGAAAATAAAACATTATTACAGCTTTTAATATAAAGTTATAAAACATTAATACATGACATAAATGGAAGGAGGGAGAGAGAGAGAGGGGGGGTGGGAGAGAGGGAGAGAGAGAAAAGGAGAGAGAGAGGGAGAGAGAGAAAAGGAGAGAGAGAGGGGGTGGGGGAGAGAGAGAGAGAGAGAGAGAGAGGGGGGGTGGGAGAGAGAGAGAGAGAGAGAGAGAAAACACGCATCCTTTTCAAAGGAAAGCCAGACAGACATCCAGCACATCAAATATGAGCAAAGCCCAATTTCTCTGCCACAACAAAGTAACAAAAAAACACTGAATTATTAAAAAGAGCATCAAAACATCCAGTCAACCTTTAGAGAATGCATACACTCGAACAAAAACACATGAAATCATCAACAGAAATTGAAAAATATCCATTTCCATCTCAACAAAAAAGAAGAACAAAATTAATAATTGAAACCAGGAGGAGGAGGAGGACCCTTTTCACCAGCAGGTGGACCACCTGGGTAGGGAGGGGGCGCCGCAACGGGTAGTGAAGGGGGAGCAGCCATAGCCATAGCCTGATCGGGGACGATTTTCCTCTGGAAAAACAGCAGGCACTTCATCTTGACCGTTGCCATTCCTGAAAAATGCATCTCTGGGGTCTCCAAGATACAGGCCAGCTCCCATCCTTTATTGCCCATGTCCTGGAATTTTAAAAAACCCAGACGGATGGGAATTCATCACAGATGAATCTTGCTAGAACAATTAATTTCAGTTTAGTTTGAGAAAACAGAAGTATATTGACACAATAACGGTCATTTAATGCAGGTTTAAAAATGGAAAAAGAGACAGACAGAATCAACAGATGGAAAGAAAAAGAGCAGGATCTACCCTCCAAACACACAGGCAGCAGAAACTACAGCCAACAGAGAAGTTCCTTAAACTCTTTCCGGACGTATCGCCGATATACCCCTTGCGGACGTATCACCGATATATCAACTGTGATAGGGTGCCTCAGTATTGTTTCGTTTTAACACAATCCGTCATTTATAATTACTTTTTAATGCTATTGAACGGAAAGGATTTAGGAAACGAAAAATCTAGTTTCACTTTGTCAAAGCGTGGGTTTGGGGAAAAACAAGTGAATTAGTTCTTGAGGTCTTGCATCATCAAAACGAAGTAACCAGACTCAGTATAAATATCATAACTGAAACAAAAATTGGAAAATTGCTTAAAAAAAAAAAGCTGCGCATTCATATATATACGGATTATGCTCTTGGCCTGTATATGATAGATAGCTATGCTGATTTGCTTTTACATGCTTGGTGAATGTAATTTCCCAACAAAATTTATTTTTCTCATCTCCATCGCCATTTCTAACCCTTCTAATGCATACTTATGTTCAAAATTAATCCCTGACTTGGTTCATATTGGGATGTATTCCTCATTCAATTTCCTTTAATTTGATATATCATAGGTTACGTTTTGATTGATGCTTATGCCTCTATGAAGTTACTTTGTACACCACCTGCATAGCCAAATCGAGCCACAGGCTAATCATGTCTATACCCAAAAAAAAACTACATCCGGAAAGAGTTAAATGCCATAGAAGACACAAATCTAGGTCGTTTCAAAGGCATGCCACACTGTGGGGTTTCCGGGTCTTTGCACTTAAGTAGGCATTCAGTCAACAGATGGGCACCAAACAGAGCTTGACATAATAAGAAAATTGTAAATGCTAACAAAACTTTCACCACTACTCAACAAACGTACATATATATATATGGCGCCCCATCAGCAGAGAAGTTGTGGAATTGAACCGCCCTTTAATAGATAAAGCAGACTTTTACTTTTACATCCCCTTGATTATTCAGAGTGAGAAGTGCAGGAAGTCGGCGAACATCACCTTAAAACCAGGGCACAGTTGGCAGAAGACTCTGGCCTACGACAGGTAGAAGTAAATATAAGTCACAACATTAAAGGAAAAGATGAAGTGGTATAGTCATGTGCTCAACACTAGAAGACATATAGAGCAAAACATAGCAAAGTGCAAATCACAGATCCTTGCCTTTTACACACCGCAACTGGCATTTTCTAGCTTTTATTTGTCCAGCTTCCCAAAAGCATTATCATTACAGGACATTGACTAAACATTTTTTACAGCTCAAATTTGGCAGATGCCCTAATTTTTCCAGTACCTATATCAACATTTACTATTTCTTTGTCACTATCAGCTGCTCCCTCAGTGTGGAATTCCCTCCCACTGAATTTATTAGAGGCCCCTCCAACTTTGACACATTTAAATCTGGTTTAAAAGAAAATTTATTTAAATCTCATTTTATTAACCAGTTTGATTCTTCTTCCAACAACAAGTATGGTCAGGAGCCACAGAGATTGTTTTTTTTGTTGTTGTTTTTTTTTGTGTGCTTGTGGTCTTTGTCAGATTACAGGTGTATATGTATTTAAAGGGATTGTTGTACATTGAATGGGCTAGTATGCATGAAACGTTAATTTAAATCTTATTTTATTGTGAAGTACCTTGAGCCACCAGGGAGTGGGCGCCATAGAAGTGATCTTTATTATTATTATTATTATTATTATTATTATTAGCAACAATAAAACTCATAAGCTTCCACAGTGAATTATTTTGGAAGAGCCAGAAATTCCCACACCTGAACAGCTTTTCTCCAGGAAACCTAGAATGCATTCTTTATGCTTTACAAAGAAATATTAGCAAGAAACTGTATGTAAGGGTAAGAGACAAAAACAACAGCAAAAGATAATTTGTTACCTGAATAACAGGCTCCCAGTTAGCTGTGGTGGTCACACCACTAAAGCCAGACTGAGATATCTTGATCCAGTGTTCAACCACGGTGCCCTGATAAACTGGTGTATTGTCATTTATCCGGGAGGCTGGCTTTTCAAAGAACCATTGGGTGTTTGTCTGCATGTGTGCGCTGAAACCTGCCTGTTAAACAGGGATGGAAAGAGATTGTCAACTACTGGGGATAGGAAGATTTCCTATATTGTTTTCATACCCAGAGAGAGAGAGAGAGAGAGAGAGAGAGAGAGAGAGAGAAAAAGGGAGGGAGGGAGAGAGAAAGGGAGGGACGGAGAGAGTTTTGTGCGCATGTGTGTGTGTATGTGTGTGTTTTTAGTTTTAGTAGAGGTTTTACGGCGCTCGCAACTGCATAAGAGCGCCAGTAGATTAGATGTGTTACAAGAGAGTAACAAACATAACAAAAGAAGAAGGGGAGATAAGGACGATAGATGTTTTATAGGAAAGAAGAAGCGAACCACACCAGAGCACCCGCCAACCACCCATTATGTGTGTGTGAGTGAGTGCTTGTGTGTATGAGAGAGAGAAGGGGAAGAGAGAAAGAGAAAATGAGAGAAAGGCACAATGAGAGAGAGAAAGAGAGCAAGAGAGAGAGAGAGAGAGAGAGAGAGAGAGAGAGAGAGAGAGAGAGAGAGAGAGAGAGAGAGAGAGAGAGAGTGTGTGTGTGTTTGTGCTATTTGTTAAAGAACTTACCATTTCCTCCCACTTCTCTTGCTACAAGTATGTTTTTCTCAGGCAGCGAAGAGCATGCCTAGCCTATATTTGAATGAATTTTATCACTCTTGTTGTAAATTATGATCTGGCCCTCACAGAAGCGATGAGTTTTTCATCGCACAAGTTTTAAAAAAACAAGGATACACGTGTTAAAAAATTTGGTAGTAGTCCAGTTCCTTGACCCGGACTACTGGGAAAACCCCAGCTTGCACAACCTGAGCAAACATGGCTTTAATCACATGGGTCTGGCCGGGCGCACTATGCACTCCTGGCACTGCAGCAGTCATCTTCAAAAGGGATTGGCCTTTGCAGGATTTTTTTTCTCCGGTCGTGTTGCGTACGCCGGGTCCCCTCGGGTCTACTATGCCAATTTTTTCTGTACCCCTGCCAATGTCTTGTAGATTTCAATATTTATCTCTTATGAAGTCCTAGCAAAGACATTTTACCGCAAGGTAGTTCACAACTTAGAAAAGCGTACTTTCCCGACACACGTACGCTCAACAGTACAAAATGTCACTATATATGGAGTTGATAAAAAAGTCTTGCTTCGATTTTCGAGAAATGGATTTTCTATAACAATCTTTCCTTCTATTCATAGAACCAACGGCACGTTCATCATCATTGCCTTTCTCACCCTGCTCCAGGGTATAGGCCACGGACAAACAGCTGCTTCTGTCCATACTGTATCCAGTGTGTTTCGCTGACTCCTAGTATGTGCAG